TAATCTCTAAGAAATTTCCACTAGTGGACCCAACTATAATTGGAATAACAAAAGACAAGGAAATGAAAACATTAGAGCTCGGATGAACTGAGTTGTTTGTAATCTACGATGGAATGATGACTTTCAACAAGCCACAATTAAAGTCCTCACCACTTTAGGTTTAGACCACCTCCCAATCATGTTGGATGCCAATGGTTTTCAACGTGTGTAGAACTCCAAATTTAGGTATAAAGAAATGTGGACCTTATACCCTAACTTCAAAAGCCTTATAAGGGATAGTTGAAATGAAGTTTTCGTAGATCATGGACATGATTATTTTCTTAGGAAATGTAAGCAGCTAAAGGAAGTGCTCTCAGTTTGGAATAGGAAAAATTTTGGGAATCTGAAAAGGAATATAAGGGAGACTAGGAGATTGTTAGAAAATGAACTTAATGTAAGCGAAGAAAGTTATTGCAAAGAGAGTGTGCAGAAGCTAGAACAAAACTTGGAGACTCTTTTGAAACAAGAGGAAATATTTTCAGCCCAAAGATCAAGGATAAATTGGCTGAAATATGGAGATAAAAACACATGGTTTTTCCATATGGCTACCTAGAGAAGGAGAGCAAATAATAGAATCTAGAAAATTAGAGGTAGCAATGGGCTTTGGATGGAAGATCGGTTTGGCATATCCAATATTTTTCTAAACCATTACAAGGAAATCTTTAAATCTTCTCACCCTATAGGTGTGGAGTCTTTTCTTGAAGTCACTGAGCCCAAAATCACTATTCAATATAATGAGAGAATAGAGTCTAAAGTTTCAGAGACTGAAATTAAAGATGCTTTATTCTGAATGAAACCATCCAAGGCCCCAGGTCCATACGGGCTCCCTAATTCTTTCTTCCAAAAGTACTAGAATATAGTTGGAAGGAATGTGTGTAGTTCAGTGAAGGAGTTCTTTGTATCTAATGTCATATCAAAGAGTCTAAACAGCACCCTAATAATCCTGATTCCTAAGGTTAGAAATCCAAGTGACCCTTCCTAATTCAGAGTCATCAACCTTTGTGGTACTCTATATAAAATCATAGTGAAGATTTTAGAGAATAGGTTAAAGCTACTTCTATAGGAGGTAATCAGTGTAAATCAAAGTGCTTTTATTCTAGGGAGGGTTATAAATGACAACATTTTGCTAGCACATGAAATCATACATCATTCAAAAAGTAGCAAAAGTAAGATAGGGTAAATGGCGGTGAAATTGGATATGAGCAAAGCTTATGATAAAGTGAAATGAGTGTTCCTAGAAAAACCATGGAAAAAATGGATTTTGGGCATAAGTGGATTAGGTGGGTAATGAAATGTGTGTCCTTAGTCTCCTATCAAGTCATAGTAAACAGGTCTCCAAGTACATCTTTCAAGCTAGAGAGGGGCCTCAAACAAGGGGACCCCCTTTCCCCTTATCTGTTCATGCTTTGTTCAGAGGTCCTTTCTTTAAAGTTACACTCTTTGGTAGATCAAGGCAAGTTTTTTGGAATTAAGATTAATAGGTAGTGCCCAACAATCTCTCATTTATTCCTTTGCATATGACAACTATATCTTTAGCAGGGCCTCTATTAGTGAATGAGCAATTTTGGTGGAAGCTCTCAAGGATTATGAAAAGACTTTAGGGCAACGGGTGAACCTTGTTAAATCTAAGGTGTTTTTTAATAAAGCTATGCACCACAGGTTAAAAAGAGTGGTAACTTCTAACACGGGGATTAGAAAAGTCTCCAGCCCAACCAAGTATCTAGGTTTACCAACTGATCTAGGCATATCCAAATCCACTGTCTTTAGTAACATCCTCGAAAGATTGTCTAATAAAACCAGCCCTTGGTATGACTTATTTCTATCCCATGCAGGTAAGGAAGTCCTTATCAAATTTAATCACGACAATCCCAGCATATGTAATGTCTTCTTTTCTTTTACCTAGTTCAAATTGCCACCATGCAAAGAGAATTCTGGTGGGGGAGGAATCATAATGGGAAAAGGAAAATTCACTAGTTAAATTGGGACCAAATTTGCAAAAATAAGATGAATGGGGGATTAGGATTCAAAGACCCCCATGCTTTTAACCTAGCCTTGCTAGCCAAACTAGCTTGGAGAATAGCCTCCAAGGAGGAGAGTCTATGGGTAAAAGTGATTTCAACCAAATATATAAGAAACAAAGATTTCCTAAGAGATGACTTTTCAAGTAAGGGCTCATGGGGTGTTTTGGGTTGTAAACACAGGCGAGGAATCTCTATTTGGGATGATTCTTGGCTCCCTTCCCTTCAAGGAAAAAGAATCACTGGTCCTAGGCCAGGGCTTGAATCATCTTCCAAAGTTTGTGATCTCATTGACAGTAACTCTCGATCTTGGAAGGTTTAGGTTGTGTGTTCCATGTTTAACGAAGTTTACGCAAGCCAAATCTTAGCTATCCCTCTTGCTAGGGGGAGTGGCAAGATAGATTTTATTAGGCTCCCGTGAAGAATGGAAAATTCTCGGTTAAATCTACATATTTTGTGGCAAGAAACCTTACTCACAACTCTCATACCCCTAATAAGGATTTTTCCCTCCAGAAGCTTAGGTGGAGAAAGTTGTGGAACACCCTAGTAGAATAAAAAATCAAGTCTTTTATTTGGAAAGTAGTGCTAGAAGGCATAGCAGTGTGCACGCCAAACTTGCTAAAAGGAAACTATTATCTTTTGATATCTGCCCTCTTTGTAAAATAGCTCTAGAATTAGTTTTCCATGCCATTGTTTCATGCGACCATGCAAGAGGTTTTTGGCTAGCCGAGTCCTTTAATGCTAGAGTTGACTGTGTAGACAGTTGGGACTATTTTGCTTATTGGTTTTTTTTTGACTGGAATATTGTTTTGTTATTAAGGATAGATTTGTGGATCTCTCTATTTAGCTAGTTATCACTTGCTGGAACATTTGGAAATTGAGAAACAATTTACTTTTGAAGGACACTAACCATTCTCCCTGGTTGTTCTTGTTTTACATCCATAGAGAAGTAAGGACATCGATAGAGAATTTGAAGCCATGGTTGAAAGATTCATCTCCAAGTGATCTAGCCTGGGCTGGTTCTCTTTTTTTGGCTTCCTCCGTTTTGTGGCGCATTCAAGGTGAATATTGATAGAGGGTTCCTTGGTCCCAAGAAAGCCAATATTGGTGTTGTGATTAGGGATTGGCAGAGAGTGTGCTACTTGCTATGGTCATTGTCCATCATTCTCTCCTATTCAATCAGTGGCTATAGCTATGCGCCAAGGGCTACTATTGGCTCATTAGTGTGGCGTTTCCCAGTTGATTTTGGAATCTAATTCTTCAGTTTGCAAGCAAGAAATGCTTGAACGTTAGCTCATAAATCTTCTTCCTTCTACAAGATATTTTTGAAGTTGCGTTTGGTTTTGATGTTTCTTTTACTCACATGAATAGAAGCTGTAATAGTTTAGCCCACTCTCTTGCTAAAATTGGTCTTGAGGACCAGGGGCATTTTGTGTCTAATTGCCCAAACTGGTTAATCTCATTAGCTGTGGCTGATTTCAATGGGCTTTCTTAAGCTGATCATGTAATTTGTTTTGTTTTATCATGAATGGAAAGCTAAAGACAAACACTTGTAACAAAAAAAACAAGTGATAGTGGCTATAGAAAAAGTCCTACAACTAGGGGCAACCACAGTTCGGTCTGTGGGCCTTTTTTTGTAACCAAACTGGTACTATCGATATTTGGAAAACCGGTAACCGAAATTGAATCAAAACCAATCAGTTAATCATTGGTTTGTTAAATTAGTTTTGCAGTTTTTTATTTTTACAATATATATTATAAAAATATATATAAATATATATTTATATATAATGCATATTTATTATTTATAATATATAAAAATATTAAATATATATAATATACATAAATATATATAAAATATATGTATACTGGTCGGTTCAATTAACCGTCGGTTTTCTATATTGGTTAACCAAAACCAAATCAGTACATTTGATTTTTTAAAACACTGAACCGAAACCGAACCAACTGATTCAGTTAACCAATTTTTTGGTTTGATTTTGGCCATTTTTCGGTCGGTTCGGTTTTTTTCTAACCCTACCTACAAGGCTACAACCATCCAATGGCTAGTAATACAATAATATTAAACTAGCGGAGGGGGCCCTGCGTTGCAAGGGCTTGCTCATAGACTATCAGGCTCGAGCTCAATTTTAATTATAGACTTGAGCTTGAGCTTGAGCTCGGTTACCTTCGATTGTAGGTCTCTCAAGCAGTTGAGGTGTCGAGCCGAGGTCTCCCTCAATTGTCGAGGTGCCAAATCGAGGTCTCCCTTAACTGCTGAAGTGTCGAGCTGAGGTTTCCCTAGGAGGCGAGGTGTCGAGCTAAGGTCTTCCTTAGTTGACAAGGTGTCGAGTTGAGGTCTCCTTTAATTGTCGAGGTGTTGAGCGGAGATCTCCCTTAGTGGCTGAGGTGCCGAGCCGAGGTCTCCCTCGGTGGTCGATGTGTCATATAGCTTGAGCTCGATTCGAATTAGAGACTTGAGCTTGAGCTTAGAAGTTCAAACTCGACTCGGCTTGGCTTGAACTCGACTACCTTTGATTATAGGTCCCCTAGCAGTTGAGATGTCAAATTGAGGTCTCCTTCATTTGGAGAAAGAGTGGTATTTTTGTAATTTATAAGGAAAGGGAGAGAGATGGCAGGAAAGAGGAAGATGTCATTCTTGTAATTTATGAGAAAAAGAGAGAGAGAATTGATAGGAAAGTGAATGGTATTCTTGTAATTTGAAAACAGAAAAAGCAAAAAAGAGAGAATTGGTAGGAGAGAGTGATATTTTTATAATTTAAAAAAAAAAAAACAAAAGAGGAAGAATTAATAAAGAACGGCATTCTCATAATTTCTATTAAAAAAAGCAAAAAATACTTTTATATTCCATTTCCCTTCTCATGCTGTATACATATTTCAGCTTAATATATTTATATAGATATTATGTCTTCGGCGTGTATTTTTCGACAAGTTAGCGTGTGAGATCCCCCGCCGACGGGGAAACGCGGGCTGCGAAACGAAACGTGAACATATTTCGCTGTCATGTTCTACGATTATAAAAACCCGGTTTTTCGAATTCTTTCAATATCTTGTCGTGCTCTGACTCCATTACTTGCCACTGACTTCTTCCATTCTCCCCGGATTCCGGATAGTCGGCTGGATACATCACATCCACACACTGCAGGGTTCAGATGGGTATCTCCCTCTCCGTGGTTTAAAACTACGGCGGCTTCTGGTTCCCACTGCCATGTATTCCAGAGAAACTCTAATAGGTTGCATCAATCAACGACTCGATCGGATTTCTTCCAAGAGGAAACTAGACGATTATGGGCCCTGTGACGACGATTTCTCTGATTTAGTAGTATCGGCGAGGATGAAGAAAGATGAAATCAATGCCGTTTATTCGTCTGGAGTGGAGGAAAGCAGATTAAGTCATAGCCTCAAGGGGAACGATGATTACGGTGATGCTAGAAATGGGGTTTACCATTCTCTGTCGGAGCCTTGCAGTAGTAGTTCGAGTGTGGGAGAAATGGAAGGCTCGTCTTCGAGGTTGCATTTTTTCGTCAGGATGATTTCGGGGGGAAATACAATTGTCATACATGCGAATTCGGAGGACTCTGTCGAATCTGTCCATGAACAAATTAGAAAAATGACTGGGATTCCAACGACCGAGCAAAGGTTGATCTACCGAGGGAAGCAGCTCCAGTGGGAACAGTCGCTGGCCGAGTGTTCCATCCAGAACGATGCGGGGCTTCAGTTGGTCGGGCGTATGAGGAGTACTGAGTATCCTCGAACTTGGCAGGTAATCAACGATTTGGTTTCTTCTATTTGTCGCCTGTGTCAAGGTGATTCAATCCGTTCCTCTCAAAACGTTAAATCCCGCGTGAATGAGTTCTTGTGTATTACTCCGAGGGACGGCAGTGAGCTTACTTCGGGACATCTTCAGATATTTAGGTCTTCCGGTGCCCCAACAGCTCTTGTCATGCTCTTCCTTTCGCCCCTCAAAGGAAACAAGGAATACGCGGAAGAGTCTATTCGGCTCTTTCTTACTCCCAATATTGAGTTCTTACCAAAATCTATACAGTCCCGCTGCGCTCCCATAGTGTTGGAATTCTGCAAATTGCTTAGTAATACCGCCCGTGATGATCCGCTATATGTATCATGTCGAAATACTCTAGCTTTTTTATTGGAAAATATTGGAGTTGTGCATGGGTCCGAGTACTTTGATCACACGGAGGCATCGGCTGTAATCCGAGACTTCTCCCCCTTTGTAAATGAGCTGGCGAATAAGTTGTCAATGGGTTTACAGTCAAGTATCAACTCATCCCCGTCCATCGGGATGTCTGTAAATGATGTCCGTGAATTTTGTGCTTTCTTACTACCCTTGCGGAGAGCAATTGAGGACCAGATCAGTGAAGAGGATTCCATTCTTAAGCGTTTGGACGAGATTGAATTATTGCATGTTAATTTCACTGATTTGCTTGGGAAAATTGATCAATGCCTCGAAAAAGTGGGAGGGTTTTTGGTTTCTAATGGAACAGGGGAAAGTGAAAGCTGTAGACCTGTGTGGTCAACTTATCTTGCTATTCTTAAGGAACTGAACAGCATTTCTAAACTTTATCCCGGCGCTGAAGAAAAACTTTTCTCTGTCATGAGGTCAAGGCGGTTTTCTTTGAATGCTCTTATTAGGTTTTCCAAGCGAAGTGATGAGAATTTTTGGCTTCTTAAGCATAAGGATGTGACTGATTTTGAATCTAGGAGGCATTTGGTAATGATGTTGCTTCCTGATATAAAAGATGAGTATGAAGAGCTACATGAGATGCTTATTGATAGGTCACAGTTATTGGCAGAATCATTTGAGTACATAACTCAAGCAGATGCTGAAGCATTGCATGGTGGCCTTTTCATGGAGTTTAAAAATGAGGAAGCCACAGGTCCTGGTGTCTTGCGGGAATGGTTTTGCTTGGTTTGCCAAGAATTATTTAATCCAAAAAATGCCCTTTTTCTAGCATGTCCAAATGATCGACGAAGGTTCTTTCCTAATCCTGGTAACCTTTTTCTCTAGCTAATTATAATTTTTGCTGTTATATATGTCAGACCTTGGACATTACAAAATGTTAACCCCCTGGAAAGACAGTGCTAAAAGGTGGGCATCTTTGATAATCGACTTAACTTATGAATTTGAATTTTTGTTGATATGATAAATGCTTGAATTAATTAGTTTGGTATAAGAGTTTCCTTTCTCATAAAATGCAGATGATCTTCTAATGTAATATTGTTTCATCTGCAGCATCTAATGTGGATCCTATGCATCTTGATTATTTTAGCTTCTGTGGTCGGGTGATTGCATTAGCTTTGATGCATAAAGTGCAGGTAGGTGTTGTATTTGATCGTGTTTTTTTCTTGCAATTAGCTGGGAAATTTGTTTCTTTGGAAGATGTGCGGGATGCAGATCCATGCTTGTATAGGAGCTGCAAAAAGATTTTGGAGATGGATGCTGATCTTTTGGATTCAGATGCTCTGGGGTTGACATTTGTCAGTGAAGTTGAAGAGTTAGGTTCCAGGAGAGTGGTGGAGCTTTGTCCTGGAGGGAAGGGAATTGTTGTGAATAGCAGCAATAGAGAGGAATATGTGTACCTTCTCATTCAGCACCGTTTTGTCACATCTATCTCTGAACAAGTAGCTAATTTTTCTCGAGGGTTTGCTGATATTCTTTCTCATTCAAGTCTTCAAAAGTTATTTTTCCAAAGTTTGGAGCTTGAAGATCTTGATCAGATGCTGCATGGAAGTGAGAAAGCCATTTGTGTAAAGGACTGGAAAGCACATACGGAATACAATGGTTATAAGGAAACAGAACATCAAATCTGCTGGTTTTGGAAGGTAAATTTTTGTAGGATCATTATTTTCACTTTTTAGTTTCAGAAACTTGCTCTTTAATCTTCAGTGCTTGTGTAGCCATTCTTTATTTCTGTTTCATGCACTGTTGGTAATCAGTTAGGCATGTAGCTGCCCATGGTGCATTATCACTACTTGGATCTGATCCTACTAAGATTAAAAACACTAACTATATTAAGGCTCTTTTTGTTTGCAATGAAATCCTTTAGAGATGCAAGATTTGTACCCAGTTTGGATTTTAGGCCTAGGTTTGTACAGTACCCCTACCTGATGCAAGATTTGCATTTTTTATCTCATTTGCATTCATAGTTGATGCAAATTTTGCATCTTAAAATCTGATTCCAAATTTGCAGAACTTCCTCCCACCTTCATTTTCTCCCATATAAAGTGGGGAACACTTGTACCCCCATGCATTTGTTCCTATTTTGTGTTCCTCTCATTTGCACCTCAAAAATAAAACAAAGTGAAACCTGAAGTAAAAGTGAACCAGAATTTGCACTTCCATGCATTTAGGCCACGCTTGGGAGTGCTTCTCCAACAGATTTTTTTTTTTTGTGGTTTTTCATGTTGGGGAAGCCAAATGCCAGTCAAACAATAAACTCTATTCAGCCTTTTTGCTTAAAAAGCCCATTTCGAGAGGTGGAAAACAAGCTCCATTTAGCTTTTCAGGTTTGTAAGAAACTATTTTGAAAAACACTCCCAAAGGCAGCCTTGCACCAACATAAATGTAAACAAGTGGAACCTAAATAATAATTAGTAATATAAGCATTTTATATTATTATACAATATTGACATGATATTATAGCCATAATTAGTCTCATAAGTATTGTATGTTTCATGTTTGTGTATTTGTGCCTGTAACAGGTAGGTTGGGCAAAAACCAGCTATTTCCTAACTCCTAACACACTGGAGCTTTTCTTGGGCATATGATTCTCAGCCCACTTTGGTCTATCAGCTCCTATGCCTGACCGAAACCTTAGGACTGGGCTACATTTAATGCTGGAGTCATTGCAACTCACAATTTCTGTCATTATGTCTTTCTAGCTTTTTTCCCAGTTTGGTTGTGTGTGTGTGTGTTTTAGGATCAGAAACAGATCAACAATTTATTTTTGTAATATAATAGTAAACCCCTCACATCAAAGCAATAAGAGGAAGCAGTGCGAAACAATCTCTAGCACTGACTTCTACATGGAATAAAAAATTTTCAATAAAAATGTACCAGTACATTCAGCCCAAATTCAAAACCTCTCAAAAGAGAATACCCACACCTTGAGTGGGCCTTGAATCCAGTTGAATAGCCAAGTACTTGCCTTTCTTATGGTATGCAATGTTTTAAAATGTGGAGGCGTGATGCGAAGCGTGAGGCGTAGTTCAGAACGCAAGAGGCGTAAGCCTCCTTAAGAGGGGGGGGGGTTAGGAGGAGGATGAAGAGGAAGGGGGGATCTCATTTTTCTTTATTTTTAATAAAAATCTTTTATATTAAGAAGAATAAAGATGCATAGCATTAGTTGAAAGGGGGGGGGGGTCTCGTCGAAGCGGAGGCAAGCTCGCCAGAGTGGGGGCAACCACTTTCTTTCCCCTTATCTTTTCTTCCCTTTCCTTTCCTTTTCTTTTCTTTCCTTTTCTCTTTTTTTCTTCTCTTTCTTTTTCTTTCCCTTCCCTTTCTTTTTCTTTCCTTTCCTTTCCCTTTTTTTATTTCTTCTTTTTTTTGTCTTTTTATATAAGATGTGCATGAGGTGCATGAGGCGTACACCTCTAGCATGCCTCATGAAAAAAGCGCAAGAGGCGTACGCCTCAGAGGTGTCAGTGCCTCTGGCATGCGCCTCAGGGCGTTTTGGGAGCACCTCCAGGCGTTTAAAACACTGATGGTATGTCTGTACATCCAAGGCCCAATCTTAGCTGAATGCATCTTTTGCCACGTTATAAGTTTGCATTAGTCTTTCATTGCCACATTTCATGATCTGAAGCATCATTATTTCTGCAAGGTAATCTTGGACTTTTAGTTTTCATTTTAAAAGGAGTAATAGGTTAAGGCATTTTTGTATAGTTTAGTCTTCATGTTGAAGTATTCTTGAAACTGGTAAGAGAGCGGAACTGATTGAGTATATACATATATATATACGACACTATCTTTTCAATAAACAGTATCCAAAAAGTGGATATTTTCCACTCTCAAATAAAAGTTTTCTTCTTCAGACATGTGTCTATCTACTCTCAAAACAGTGAGAGTAGTTAACTCCACTCTTAGAAAAAGTGCTAACTTTAGACGCATGGCTACATATAGAAAAAAAGTACCCACTCCAAGCTAGCTTTAAACACATGGCTGCCTATAAAATGTACCCACTCTAAAAGATGTGGGACCCATATGGCAATATCAATCTTTGTAAGTCAATTCCCTAATTCAAATAAAAGACTCATTATAAAAATTTTAAATTACAAATTAAACATTATTTATTTTTACAAGTTTAATAAGGAATTTAAATTAGATATAATTACAAAATAAATAATGAATATCAAACAAAATAAATATGGCTGTCCGTAGTTGTTCCGTACTTGGGGTCATTATCTAGTTATAAATAATTAATTATCCAATAATAATCATCTTATTGTTGGATATATGCCTGACCTGATAAAGTTGCTAAGTGATATTAGAATGGATGGGCCAGTCACTAATTGTAGATTGATGCAACTGATTTGAGAGATAATTCGAGAGAGGTGATCCTCCTTCCTCTTCTTAGGGGAATGCAGTGTGGTTTTCAATTTGAAAACCTGCTTTTCTTTTTATTGTAAATATTAATATCAAAAGTATATCCAGTTACTATTATAAATAAATCACTCTATTGAGAAAGACAATAATATTTGTATTAAAATCCAAAAAAGAGTACATGAGAAGATATACAGATATTACCCCTGCCAAACAGTCAACAGCCTGTCATTATACAACATCTCTAATACCAGATTGGCCTGTCCATCGGCTACAGAATTTAACCTGGTGATAAAAGAATAAGAATAGTCTAGTGAAGGAGTGCAAAGATTCTTGGACATTATCTGACATAATAGATATGAAGATCATAAAAACAAATAAATGATTGTTTAGAAATTGATTGATAACATGGTATAATAAGTCAAGATTGGTACCATGTCAAAACATGCTTTACAATGATGGATGAGATGGGATTATAGAATGTAGTCATTAGATGCTAGATTTTTAGCTGTCTATTTTTACTGTCTACTATTAGCCCAACTAAGCAGTTAGTGTGTTGGTAGTAAACATTATACTTGGCTTGAGTTTTTTCACCATGTATTTTAATGCTATATGTTCTGAAGTTTCCTTTCTCCAAGGAAAGAGCAACCAGGTAGTTGGTCAACTTCAAATCACTATTGTCAGGCTGGAAATACATGGAATGATGGAACCACTTTTCCAATAGTTGGGGTGTTGCTACCCACCTCCTTTTGATTGGTTCCATTTAGCCCAGAATACTATGCTAGGTTGATCCTTTAGATTGTTCCCAGAAGCTTTGTCCTGCATGTTGAAGTGATTCTCCTGTTTTGCAGTGGTAGAGAAAGCTTGAGCGGTTTGGAATTCTTTACCTGGAATTTGAAGTGTTAGTAGTGATGCAAATGCAGTATCATGCAAGCTGCCTTATAGCTTCTCTGAATACATCTCCAATGGTTAAATATATAGTTTGATTGTTTGATTAGTAGAACCTTTCATGAATGCCTAGTTTATTTGGCATAATGTAACTAGAGTTTTAAAACTCCTACAGGTTGTTGAGGAAATGTCCGCAGATCAGTTAAGGATTCTTCTCTTCTTCTGGACCTCATTGAAGTACCTTCCAGTAGAGGGCTTTGGTGGCTTGTCTTCTCGTCTCTACATCTTTAAGACATCAGATTCTGATGATCGACTACCCTCATCACACACATGCTTTTATCGGTTGTATCTTCCTCCTTGTCCATCTCTAGCAGTTATGCAGGATCGGCTTCGTATCATTACCCAGGAACATGTTAGCTACAGCTTTGGTATTTGGTAAAGTCTACTACTTTGTGATGATGAATTTGGCTACATGCAAGAGATTAAACCAAAATCTTGTACAGTTCAGATCATTACTTCATTTCTATTTTGTAGGGCATGCAAGAGGGTTCTACGTTTATCTCTAGTGTTTTCTTTAAAGGTTGCATTCTGAGTTCTCCCTTTGACAGTCGAAAGACGTAGTGAGCTTTTGTATTAAGATCTTGAAAGCCTGAAGACCCGTCTTTTGGCGTGTCTTTCCGTCCAAAGACGAGTTGAAAAAACCAAAAAGCTTCATTTAGAGCTTCTTAAAAATTGCCTAAAACGGGTTTTGTGCGTCTTTTTGGTGTAATGTTTTTTGGTGGCTAGGTCTTTTTCCAACCTAATGGAAAAAGACGAAAATGCGAGCTGCCAAGCTTCTAAAAAGTTGGCAGCCTGTGTGAAAAGATGCACCAAATGGGGCCATAAGTAATGGTACACCTGAAAGATGGCACAGAAAAAAAAAAGGAAATTTTTATATACTGCTTTCTCTTGAGTTGAGTACAGGACAGTCAAGAAACATGTTAAAAAAAAAAATGAAAATAAGTGGAAAATGCTAGAAATGATAGTCATAAAGGAACTAAGATGTAGGGTTAGGGTTAAACAGAAAGAATGACCAAACGGGATTCATACGTTCAACCCCATATAATTGGGATCAGGCTTGGATGACGATGGATTCTATTCTGTCTTCAAGAAGGATATCAAACATATTTATTTACGTTCTCTTCTCATTCAATGGCTTCCTCTAGAATGGAACCGTTATCGTAGGCCACGTGAATGGATGGTGTGACCAAATCACATACATCCATGTGTAAGGGCATCACGTGTAGGAAATCTGTTTGGCATTCTTTCAACTCTTGGAGCCTGTCGCATGCCATGGCATCAGAAGGTTGTGTATAGAAGAGCTTCATTACTAAAGCACCTTGGCATCAGAAAATTCTGCTTTACTGAGTCTTCTGATACCATTAGCTGTACAAGGAGTGTGGTCAGATTTATTCTCAGGTTTTAATGAATGAAAAAGGGGCTTTCTTCCGGTCTCGTATTACTTGGCAACATGTATTGTACGATCTAAGGGAGCGAATGCTGATCAAGCAAGATTGATATACGTCAAAGGGGAAAAATATGTAATAAATGCTTCTGGAGAGTGGAGACGATACCTTTGTATGAGTGAGTATCAATCAATTTCAGAGAGGCATGATAAGTCACAGGTTGAGGGCTATGGTGCCTTGTTCATGGAACGGAATCCCATGCTAGAGCTCCATTGCCAGTTTGTTGATCACTCGTACTTTTGGTTATGCCAAAAAATGGTTCTATAGAATTTCCCCAGAAGGGGGGACGGGTAACGGTTAATAGATAGATGATGATCTTCGGCTCAATAAGGAGTTGCATCCCTTAAGTTGTGTGGTTTCCTAGTATTTTTTTATCTCAAACCCCAGAACTAGATCACAAATTTGATTCGTCAATATTCAAATTTTAATTGAATTTCATTCATAGGGATAGGGTTTATTTCGGATTCAAATAAAGCTAACATTGCAATCGGATATTGTATATCATTAATAAATTCTATTAACAATAATCAAAATACTATATATTATTAACAAAATGAACTAAAAATACTGTCATATTCCATATCACTTACAAATTAAATTGAATGTACCCTCCAGTAAAAATTCAACATTTAAACAAATTTTACTAATCTATACTATATTATATAGCCACTCAGTCAACGTGGCATCTTCCTTTTCCAATTTTGCTCCAAAATCTCCGTTCCCATTTTTACAAATCTTTAATTTTTTTTTATTGTTATTTTAAAACCACGTAATTGAACTCTTGGACCAATCAGATCTCAACACTTTCCCACCCCAACAAACAAATTTAAAGTGGAGTCATAATTTACCGCAAAAACGATTGTTGTTCTCATGCCAACTAATCCACGATCCCTCTCAAAATAGGACTGTGCTAGCCCACGATTGTGTTCATTACCTTTCAACCAAACCAAGAGCTTCACTTTGGAGTTTGGACAACATCAAAACAAGGGGGAGAGCAAGAACAGAGAGAGACCAAACAGAGAGAACCAGTTGTTTGGGCTCACACTTTCTTAAAACAGTCCTCTCTCTCTCTCTCTCTCTCTCTCTGCTTCATAGCTGCACCAGTCCCATGGCCCACCCCTGTTTTGGTTAGTTCACTTGCATCAAACTATGTTGTCGAGTTAGGAAGATGAGTTTAATGGGATGGATTTGGGCAGCCGCTCCAAATCCGATTCCAAACCCACTATTTAAAGTTAAAAGTTAGTTCACATTTGGTTTAATCACACCGGCCTAACTCTTTTTCAACCAGCCGGTCCATTTCGTTTATTAACACACCAGCCTTTAATTCTTTTTAAATTACAAACCGGTTCAGCTCGTTTTTAGAACCGGTCCAGTCCAACCAAATTAATATATGAAATATCTAATAAATTAGTAATGCATTAATTAATAAATAAGTATAATTACAGTAATTTTCAATAATTGTAATGAATAATTAATACACTAATTAGTAAGGTAGTAATTAATCTATATATATATATATATACATATTAAAACAGGTCCTGCCATGTCAGCATGCCTCTTCTTTGAGAGAAGCTATTTATCTATTTTTTTCCTTTTTGATTTTTTTAATTCCATGTCATTTTTGAAACAACCAATGAGATGCACTTTCCCAATAACGTAAATAATCTCTACTCCTAAAATTACTCCTAAACTACATCCCCCACTTTTACCAAAATTATCTCTAATTCCTATTTATCTTCTAAATTATCTCTAATTCATATTTATCTCCAAAATTATTTCTAATTTAGTAGAGAGTTTCTCTCCTAAATTATCTCTAATTCCTATTTATCCTTTCCCATACTTTTTATCTAAAGAAAGTTTGGATTAAAAAATTTAAGAATTATTTAAATATTCTAACAAAATTATAAAATAACTTTAAAATATTTATTAAAAACACAAAAAATAATTTTATGTTTTTACAAAATATATCACGAAATTATGTACTAACAATTTAAATTATGTTTTTTTTCTGGATTATCAATTTAAATGTTTTTTAAATATTTAATAATATGTAATAGCTTTAAATAAATAAAATTCAAATAACAAAAAATTTTAAATATTTTATAGATTATTTAAATATTTAAATAACTAAATATTTATCATAACTAGATTTTAAATAGTTAAAATAAATAAATTATGTAATAAATTTAAAAAAAATCTAAAAAGTAGAAAAATAATTATAACATAATATTKAAATTAATAATAATTTAATATTTTTACATAATATTGTAAATAATTAATTTCACTTATATCAAGTAATAATTCGAGAAAATAACTTTCAAAAAAAATAATATTTACTAATAATAATTTTAAACTCTTAATCTATATATAATTAGATATACTAAAATTAATATTTATTGTCTTTTTGTGATAAATGTATTTTCAATAAGTATGTATAAATTTATTTTGTTAAGTTATCTAATAGAAAACTTTCAATAATTATTGGAGATTAAATTACTATTATTGAAAATTTTAAATTTAATTTATTATACTTATTGAATTTATTGTGTTTTTGTTATAAGTTATTGATTAATATTTAGTAGAGATTAAACTATTATTTGAGATTATACTATTTATTGACTAAGTTAATATATTTTTAGTACTTATTGTATTTTTGTAATTTTTGTAATTATTGTAGTTTTCATTTTAATGTATTTGCAATAATTGTGTATTTTTGCTATAAATTTTCAATAATTATGGGAAATTAAACTATTGTTATTTATTAGAGATAAGACTTGTTAATTTAGCTGAAATTATGAGTGTTCATGAATTGGTTTGGTGCGGTTGTAAGCTATTTAATCAACCAAATTGACCTGGTCAAATTAGGGAGTTGGTCAGTTGAAACCGACTAACCTTTTGTGAAAACTGACACACTCAAGTTGTATTGGTTTGGATTGATTTTTGATTTGGTCAGTCTGTTCAAAAGATTTAAACTTAAAAATTGTATTTAATAGTTGATTAAGCATGTGGCTGACATTCAGTATATCCTTTGATACTTTTTACGTCCCCACTATTAAATATATATAGAGGATCGGATTAGATGGTTGGATATGCATACAACGAATTCAGATAATTCCTAATCGGATTGAATTTGAAGATAGCTCACAGAGTCACAGGTTCAATGTGTGCTCATTTTTCAATGCTAATACCAGTATAAAGCAATTTAGAAATTTTCTCGTTTATTTTATTTTATTTTTATTTTTATTCCACATAATATTCATTCATGCCTCAAATAAATGATTCTTTGATTTGTCAACGTGAACAGCAATCACCAATGGTATTTTATTTTCTAAAAATTGGATGAGACGTGTTCATGTGGAGTGTCATTAACGATCTTTGGTTTTGGCCTCCGTCACGTCACGTTAGTGGATGTCTCTACCACTTCGGACGATTACCATCCATCTCCAAAAGAATACTGTTCAGCAGTAACAAATGCTCTTCCCTCTACCTTTTGTTTCATGTCTTTCTGAATATGCCGGTTTTTCTTCTCAGTTTATTGAACTCGGATATTATTTGCAAAATGTTTAACATATTTTTATTTGTTTTTATAACACGGGCGTGCATTGCTTCCACTATTTAAATAAAATTCCAAGTTTCCAACGCTACTTTTTTTTTTTTTTTATACTAGATTTATGTTGCATACTTGGTGAATCACTTCGGTTACAGCATTTGCAGATCTATTTCAGTTACTGGAGTTGCAGATCCGTTTGGGTTACTCGTTAAGTTCAGCTCAGCAATTTGTGGCCAAACCAGATATGTTCTCCTTACCCTTATTTATTGTGTTTATGAACTGAATATTCAATATGTTTGTGAACTGTTAATCTTGCCGGCAACTGAAAATTTGACTGGTTTATAATTGAAGTATTGAACACCAGTCTCTATTAAATTGACTGACTGTCTCTGACAATCCTAATAGGCCTATTCTGAAATAAGAAACATAGATCTGTTGTGATGGGCAGTTTCACCTGTTCCTTATTTTTTTTCCTTTCGCAATCGCCACTTTCCGGTAGTGTTGCATTAGTGGGGTAGGTCCTAAAGCATAGTTGACCTCGTTATTGCCATGTCCTGGTGTTAGATGCACTAGATAGCCCCGGTTTTTTATCCTTGCATCAGCCTGTAACATGGGCCCGTTTTTCTATGTACGGGTAAAGAAGAAGATGAGCTTCCTTAGACCCGTTTAAGCATTTGCTCGAGGTCGATGATCAACTTGGACCCATAATAAAACCCATATAGCCATATTAGGTAATTTAATAATGTGCTATAATAACTATAATAAATATTCTTTTCTCATACCTTAATTAATTCTTTGATTGGACGCCATTTAACATCATATAAATAATTCTTTAGATAAATTTAACGGTATACAACTTCAGATTTGTTGGTCTTCTAAAAAAAATTAGATTTGACTTTAGTTTGATTAATTAGGTAATATTAATTTAATTATTTAGATAAATTTAATTACAGATAAACTTAAATTATATTTTAAGTTGTATCAAATTTCTATTTTAATTACAAATAATTAAAAAAATATATGTGATAATACTTTGAGGTTATAATAAGATATTTTAATCATGGTTTTTAAAAACGAACCAGTTAGGGGTCCGATTACCGGTTCGAACAGTCCAACCATTCAACCCGAACGGTCGGCCCGTTTTGACAAAAAAAAATTTTTAAATTAAAAAAATTGGAAAACGGTCAAAACCGTTCGAACGGTTAACCAGCCGATTCAGCGATTTGCTGACCAAAATCAACGGTTTTGGGGAAAAAAGCACTTTTGGGGGAAAACGAAACTAGTCAGGTGACCGGTTCCCGGTTTTTCCGGTCCGGTTTTGAAAACCATGATTTTAATTACAGATAATTAAAATAACCATCTTTTGATTGAATTTCCCCTGCACCTAGGTTGGGGGGGTTATGGGTTTGGGGAATGGGCTAACCCCGTTGTGTAGCCAATAGCCCCTTGCAGCAAAAAAATTACAAATAATTAAAATAAATATATTACAGATAATTATTTTTAGGGAAAATTCACGATAGGTACCCTGTACTTTAGGCTGAGTGTTAATTTAGTACCCAAACTTTAAAATGCGACAATCTAGTACCCGAACTTTCATTTTGCGACGATTTAGTACCCAACACTAACCAGCCATTAAGTGATGCAAAAAGACAAAAATGCCCTTCAAATGTCATCTAATTTTCTTTATCAACCATATAGTAAAACCAGACCATAGGCTGAGTGCTAATTTAGTACCCAAACTTTAAAATGCGACAATCTAGTACCCGAACTTTCATTTTGCGACGATTTAGTACCCAACATTAACCAGCTGTTAAGTGACATGCAAAAAGACAAAAATGCCTTCAAGTGTCATCTAATTTTCTTTATCAACCATATAGTAAAACCAGACCGACAGTGCCGCCTATTCATCATCTCACCTCTTCTCTTCAACGGAGAAACCTTTTCAAGCACTTCCACTTGCTTCTTCTCACTCACCATTAGCTTTTTGTTGTTGTTCTTTGGGATACTACACTGCACTGGAATTTCTTCTGCTCTTCTAAAACATGTTGTTTTCATCACTCACAGCTTCATCCAAAACTGAGATCCGCCGATGGTACTGACCCCTGTTCTATTGTCTACTAGAGAGACCTACGACTCTCTTTGGGTTAAAATGGCTTCTTGTGTAACACAACCGAGGAGATGGAGATTTTTGGGTTGGAAATATTGAGAAAATTTACGGGAGTTCCAGTTTGGTCTATTGGACCTTTACTACCTCTAGCATTTCTTCTTAACCTTCCCTCTCCTACCAATTCTAATTTATCCTCCTTACGCGCAGGAAAGAACCCAGCATCACACCAGAGAATTGCATCAAGTGGCTGGATTCTCATCCACCTGGTTCGGTTCTATACATCTCGTTTGGATCTCAAAACACGATCTGTGCTACCCAAATGATGGAACTAGCTATGGGTGTTGAGTCAAGTGGGAAAGCATTCATTTGGGTTGTTCGGCCACCTGTTGGGTTTGATATAAATGGTGAGTTTTAAGGCGGAATGGTTTCCAGAAGGATTCGAAGAAAGTGTTACTGAGAATAGACAAGGTCTCGTTGTGCGAAAATGGGCGCCTCAGCTAGATTCTCTCGCACAAATTGACAAGCGCATTTCTTAGCCAGTGGATGGAATTCGGTTTTGGAGAGCTTGAGCCAAGGGGTGCTGATTATAGGTGGCCATTGGTAGCAGAATAGGCTTACAATTCGAAGATGATGAAGAGGAGATGGGTGTTTGTGTGGGACGGTAGGGTCATGAGTGGGGAGGTGGAGAGTAATTAAGTTGGTGATTGGTGAGGGAGAAAAAGGGAAGGAGATGAAGATGAAGGCGAGTGAAGCTGCAAAGAAGATAAGAGCTGCAGTGAAAAAAGGAGATCAGTTGGGGTCTTCGGTTAAGGCACTTGATGGTTTTTTAGAGATTGTTTTGTCGCAGAGACAAAGCTCTAGTTTAAATGAAGCAAATGGATATCCTTATTAAGAGAAATGAAAATGGTGAAGGGTGTGATTGGGAAAGCAGATCAAGTGGTGGAGAAGAGAGCTATAGCAGTTGCAGAGAAGACAAAACAGTGTTGAGGTTACTTTTTAATTTAGCCTTTTGTTTTCCAATTTTCTGTTATGCTCTCGATCGGCATTTAGAACAGAGTATAAAACAGCTATGGGCTCAAGCTTTCAAAAGACACTTGGGTGTATTATTTTCATTCTTCTGTTCAATGTGTTAATCTCCACTGATGTATTGCAGACAGGTGTTTCCGTAATCCACGTACCCACTTGACACTGGTAACCCTCCTTCAGGAGGTAGCAGTGGTGGTGGTCTTACACCACCTTTTGGAGGTGGAAGTGAACTCCCAAGGACAAATCCTCCACCTTCAACTAGTCCGACATGCCCAATCAACGCGCTGAAAGTAGGGTTGTGCTTGGATGTTCTTGGTAGGTTGGTGCACATTGGATTAGCGAACCCAGTGGAAAATGCTTGTTGTCCGGTGCTTGGAGGTTTGCTAGAGCTTGAAGCAGTTGTTTGCCTCTCTTTCATTTTCTTGAGAAGGAAGATGATGAACAGTGTCCAAGGGTGATTTTGACATTTTCAAGTCCTAAATCACACATGAAGTCACACGATATTAATAACTGGCGGTCCATTAACAATAGGTACTAGATTGTCGCAAAATGAAAATTCGGGTACTAGAATGTCGCGTTTTAAAGTTTGGGTACTAAATTGGCACTCGGCCTAAAGTACAAGGTACCTATTGGGAATTTTCTCTTATTTTTATTATTATTACTTTAATTATAGATAAAACTTAAGCCTTTGGGACTTTTTATTGTTACAATTAAATTAAATTTATTATATGTATAATATAAAGAATTAAATTATATTATTACAGTTAATAATATTTTTATTATTATTAAAAGTATCAATAATAATTATTATTCTTCAATTATACATAATAATAATTATTATCGTTTTAATTACAAACATTTTTTAATAATAATAAAAATATTATATTCTAACCTTAAAATGTTATTAATAATTTAAGGTTAAAAGTAATTTTAATGAATTATCAATAATAAATTCATAATAAAAAATTACCAACAAATATATACTAATCATCAATAACCATAAAAAATAATAGTAATTATTAGAAATTAATAGAAACTAGCAGAAAATTACCAATAATTACCAAAAAATTGTCATAATTACTAGAAATTATCCAAGAAAATTGCCAAAAATGAATTAACATTATTTCCAAAAACATATGATAAATTACCAAAAATCAACATAAATAAAAATAATCATTTAGTATCAAATTATTTTTACTATTTCTTATACTTAATCAATAATAAAAAATTATCAACAAATTACAGAATTTATTAGTGGAAATGTGGAATTAAACATATTTTGTGAACATATGTACTTATTATGAATAAACTTAAAAAATGATAGTAATTACCAGAAATTAACCAAAGATTGTCATTAATTAATAGAAATGAACAAAAATTAACCATGAAAATAACCAAAAATAAATTACCAATATTTCTAGAAAATATAATAATTACAAGAAATTACTAAAACTAGCAGAAAATTACCATTAATTACCAAAAATTATCATAATTATCACTTTATCAGAAATTATCCAAGAAAATTACCAAAAGTGGATTAACATTATTTCCAAAAAATATGATAAATTTCCAAACATCAAACCATTAATTATGAAATTATTTTTACTATTTCTTATACTAATCAACAAATTATAGAATTTATTAGTGAAATTAAAAGTACTTTGTGAAAATAATTACTAATTATCAATAATCTTCCAAAAATAATGATAATGACTAAAAATTGTGGAGAATTTAAAGTATATTTTTTTATTTGCACAGACAATGCATTATTGAATTATATCGTTTTATTACATTAGCTACATTGATTTTTTTTTTTTTGTATAGATTATAAATCATATGATTTAAACATTACAATCCTATGCATTTCTATTGTTTTGCTTTCACTTAACAAAGCCCGTGCATTACACGGGTCCCCACTAGTAATTTTTACAATAATGTACACTAAATATTACCGATTATAAAGTATCATTTCTGGCGCGTATCACTAATACATTCTCAAAACATTGGAAAGACCTAATAAAATTATAAAATTACATCAAAATAAAAGAACAAAACTGCATGAAATCAGGGAAAATAAAATACGAAATCATCGAATAGATGGATACAGGTTTCTGGATAGAAGATGCAGGGAGCATTGGTGGGGATGTTTAGGATGGCACAGTAGTAGTACCTGGTTTCAAAGAAGTAGAAGCAGCATCCCCAAAGATGATAGGAAGACACAGGCAGTACTCTGTAGATGTCCGCTTGACTTTGGTGAAGTTTCAGGAGAAGCAACTGTCCCATTCCCAGTGGTTGTTATATTCTTTGTAATCGAAGCCAATGGTGGCTCTGCCACATCAGATTCTGTCAGGACAGGGTTTGGAGACTCAGCAGGTGGCAAAAATTCGGCAGTAATGACTTGCATGAGAGCACCAGGCTCAACAGGGTTCATATAATATGGTTTATTTTTTCCCATCTTCAAACATTTGTTATCTGCATTAACACGGAGTACCAACACATCAATATCTTAAACTTGAAAATGTTGAATTATAAAATGGACTACAATTAGCAGGACGTAGATGGAACAATATCTGTTGAAATAGATTTATACTGTCTTCAAGACATGAAGCATTGCATTTGTTGCAGAAACACAGTAACATCTATATATAGTAGGATCAGAACTTACTTCTGTATGCTGTAGCTGTCCCTGGGAAGTCGGTGATGATTCCATCAATCCCAGCTCCCATGACAAAAGAATTGATCTCAACAACTGGGTCTGAAAAGAAGTCCCATGCTTGAGATACAAACTCATTCCTGAATAAATACACATAGACAGTTAGGTTTGATGATTGTAACTTTGAAACAATGTTGGTAGCACCAGTGAGGAAGAGCTGATTTGTAGGAAACACAGATTCCTTTGTGATTGCCACAGAATGAGCAAATTGCTTGATATCCTTGATTGATGAGTCATCAGCATCACGGATATCTTCATCAATTTTGTAGACCAACTGGTAATTGGTTTTCTCCTTGAACTTGATTAAAACGGATCTGTTACTGGATTGGATCATAACCTTCTGATTGGTTTGGTTATTATAGCCAGACTGGTTTAAAGCATCAATCACTGCATTTGTTACACTTAAACCCAGACTCTCTGCAAGATAGGCTGCATTCTGCAAGTAAAGCAAACAAATATCATAATCCAGAATGGGAAGTGGCCATCCTTCCCAACTGGTGGTATGAATGATGTATATGCATAAAAAAAGGGACTTTCCACATGACAGGAGCTATAATGCTATATCTGATGAAAACTGAAAGTAGCAATAACAGTAAGTAACCATTCTTAGCAAGGGGCATATTAGCTGAAAATTCAACGAATTGCAACTTTTTGTTCTTTTCATTTCTTTTTCAGGGGGAGTGGTTGGTTAAAGTCAACCTATTTGATGACTAATCAATTTGGACAGAAATATTTTCTGGAGGGTATTTGATCTCAACCCTCCCCTACGCCCAAAATAAAAAAAGAAAAGAGAGAGAGAGAGAGATCATACAAAAGAGGTATAATCCTAACCTCTTGCATAAAAGTGTTTGTACCTTTCAGTCAAGATAACCTGTAAACATTCAGCATGGGTATCTCTCTTATGCAATGACTTTCATTCAAAGAGAACAAGCAAATAGGTTGTACCATATGCACTGACCTCTATGCTGATCAAAACAGAAAGTGGCTTGTCTTTTGCAAAGGCCAGAAAGTCTTTTAATGAGAAGATGCTTCCAGCATATTTATATGCAGGATTCCGATACAAAGCGAAATCCCTGGATGGGTTCGATATAACCGCTGCAGTGAAAAGGAAATTTACAATATCAAAAAGGTATTATTCAATACTTGGTTGAGACAGCAATTTTTCTACCATTTTTATTTTAAAAAATATAGGCAGTTGTAAGATCAAGATTTTAAAGGGCTAAAGGTAGTCAAGGCAATTGGTTGTGGAGAGGCAAAGTGTAGGGCTCAGGCACTTTCCTAAATTAAAAGAAAAAAGGAACATGATTTATGAACAATAAAATACATTAAAAAAAAGACTGAGAAGTCACCCTACACATGGAAGCAACTTGTCAGACTTTGTTTCAACAAAATAATCATAATTAATCAGAAAGAACAAAGAAATGAAGAATGCAAGATCTCACATGGTTTTAAAGTATTGATACCTATTGTACAAAATGTATTGCTTTTCTTTTCTTTTTTTTTTTTTTTGGGGGGGGGGGTGGCAGGGGCAGGGTACGTCATATATTGTGAATTAAGGCATACCATAAGGGTGAAATGTTAATATTAGAAGTCAGTATCTAATAATGGAATGGACTGCCACACGGAAATGATAAAAGAAACAAGCATTGAGTCTGACATGCTTGATACTCAATTTTTTAGTATTGGGCATATTAATACTTTGAACCATGCTCACAAATAACTGTATTAAAGATCAAAGGAAAATACCCTAACATTTCATGATGTTGAAATTAAGGGTGTAGTACAAGAAGGAACAACCAAAACCCTTTTTTTGACCAATAAAAAATGGTTACAATGAATGGGAAGCTGATTCCTAAATAAGCTTACTGGAATCTTAGCAGGATTCACCTTCAAACAAGCACTCAAAATTCAAGAATATGGATAGGAAGCAATTCAGGGTTGTTTACCATTAAACCATACTATGAGACTCTGGAGAACCAAGCTCAGGTCTATAATTGTAGGGAGCCATGGATGCAAAGGTATGATACTATGTTGTAAGTCATGGACCGGATGGTTGGACTGTGAAACCCGGGAACTGGCATCCATTCCAGTTTTTTGATATCTTGGTTCTTCAAATTTCTGAAAAACTGGTAAACCCATCAAAACCCAGTGAGAACTATTGAAAACCAACTGGGTTTCAGCTACCCACTCAGGTACCTAAATTGCCACAAACTTCTTTTTTTCTTGAACAGAATCTATGACCTCTTTCTTATGTATGATAACATGCTACCATTGATCTATCATCCTAATTGTTATTTGTCCCTCTTTAATATCTATACTGTTGAGAATGCTTAGACAGGAGTATTTTTAGTCTTTTCCTCTTCTCTTGTACTCTCTCTGTATTTGGGCGCCCAAGTAGGGGCTTCCTTGTAATTTTCTCTTTTCAAAATATAAAGAACTTTTGAGGGTGTGAACAGTAACTCACACACACACCTCTCGACACATCTCTTCTTCTTCTATGATGTCAGCAATCCGTACAGGTGTCAGCGGCAGTCAATGAATCTTACATGGTTTGATTCGCCCTGATTTTAGAGGATTTTTGGTATAACTCTTGTCCTTGTTCAAAGCTTCTATGATTTTTAGTGGTTTTTTCAAGGAGAAAATCACAGAAATTGCAGGTCTGATGTCGAGCCTTGTACATAATGTTTAATGACTTATTCTGCTGTAAAACCTAGACCATTCAGGTCGTTTTACACTTTAGGAATGGTGGGAAGTGGTCCTGTAATTTTCTAAGCCCTGTGTAATTTTTGGGAGTTTTTCTTCTCCCTCTATTTTGCTGCCAATCTAGTTTCTTGGCCTTCTTTTGTCTCTTAACCGTGTGGTGACCTTGGTTCTTGGGTCTGTAGATTTGGTTAAGTATTGGGGGTCCCTTTTGGTTGACGAGAAAGTGTCTTGATAGAATATGGAATCATCTAAGGATGTTTAGATGGTTTCCAGTGTGCTCCCAGGAAATGCAGATATTTTCAGTGGGATGATAACTACTTTCAAAACTTGATGAAATCAATTTTTTAGAGTGGTCTCAATCTGCTAAACATACCATTATTGGGAGAGGTAAAATAGGATTCATCACAAGAAAGGAGGTGAAGCTAAATCTTGAAGACCCAAAATTTGCAAAGTGGGAATTGGACAACTCCCTTGTTATGTCATGGCCGATTTGCTCAGTGCAACCTCATATTGCCCGAAACTACATGTTTCTTCAAACGGCCAAGGATATTTGGGATAGGGTTGTTGCCACTTATTCCCAAGTTAACAATACTGCTAGAGTGTACCAGCTTCGAAAGGAAGCTTGCAGTATGCATCAGGGGGAGAGATCTGTTGCTATGTATTTCTCTTCTCTACAGTCTATCTGGAAAGAAATGGATCACTTGAAAGCTCTCGTATGGAAGGACCATAAAGATGATGAGCAGTATCGAAAGTACATAGAGGAGAATAGAGTCTTTGATTTCTTAGCTGGCTTAAATCTAGAGTTTGATTTTACCAGGCAACACATTCTTAGTGCAGACATTGTCACTCTTGCTTCTACTTACTCTCTTGTACAAGGGGAAGAAAGTCGAAGGATCGCCATGACACAACCTCCTATGATTGATCACTCTGCCTTTATGTCATCTCAACCCAAGCAAAGTATTAGCAAGCACCCTGTTACTAAGAAGGTTGAGGATGTTATTTGTGATTATTACAAGAAGCCAAGACACATTAAGGAAAAGTGTTGAAAGCTCAATCCTCATTTAAAATTGGAGAAGTACAAAACCGGGAAGAAGGGCAATGTTCACTTGGCTATAGTTGGTAATGATGTTCAACCTTCTAATGTGCTTGATTCCTCTGGTGTAATGGACAAACTCAAGATTATACTGTTGCAGCTGAAAAAGAAAGGTACATCTTCCTCATCTGGTTCTAGACCTAGTAATCTATCTAGTTCATATGCCAAGATAGGTACTACACATTTTACCTCATATAAGTTAACCCCGGGGAAGGGCAAGATTACTATTGCTGATGGATCTCAGGCCCCCATTTCGAGTCAGGGTGAAGTCAAACTCACTCAACCTTTTTCTTGGAACTGTTCTTCATGTGCCCCGGCTACATAAAAATTTGTTGTCTATTAATTCTCTTACAAAATCACATAATTGCTCAGTGGCATTTTTTCCTAACCATTGTGTTTTTCAAGACCTAAGCACGGGGAAGATGATTGGAAGTGGGCATGAAGTTGATGGAGTCTACCTCTTGGATGGACTTTCAAAGCATGGATAATCAAGCTAGACTAAGTTTTGTTCAAATGAGAAAATGAGTTTTGAAATTATGGCATTGTCGCCTTGGTCATATGTCTGTCAATTTTGTAAAACTTTTGTTTCCAAACTTGTTTGACTCTATGTCAAAGTTGAATTTTGAATGCGAAGTTTGGCATCTATAAACAATGTAGAACCACGTATTTTGCGAACAGTAAAAAAGTAATGTTGCTTTCCATTTGATCCATACTGATGTTGGGTCCCATATGCTATCCCTTGCATGGGTGGGTATAAATACTTCATCCTCTTCATTAATGACTACAGTCGGTATACATGGCTCTACTTGATGAAAAGTCAAGATGAAGTTCCTATGATTGTTCAAAACTTCATGAATTTGGTAGAGACAGTTTGAGAAAAGAGTTAAGATAATGAGATCTGGGCATGTGCTTGAAGTTGCTTAGTAATAGGGTGACTTAAAGGAAGAACAGGCATGTGCTTGAAGTTGCTTGAGGTTTATTGTTCCAGACTCATGTTCCCACTCGTTTCTGAGGTGATGCTATTGAGATATTTGTTCATCTCATTAATAGACTCCTATCAAGGGTCCTTAACCTTCATTCTCCTCCCTAGGTGGTACCATACCACTTATCATGTGGAATAATTAGCATAGATTTTCATAAGTCCATAGTACAGAATGGCTTATGAGAAACCCACATCTCCACCCTAGGGTGAGTGCGGAATTCAAACATTTGCTCATGTAAAATTCGGTTATCTTTGGGAAACTTGGTTATTCAGACATTCTAGTGTCAAGTGAGAACATGGGAGAGTTCGTGGAGGTAGGCCGATGGAAAAAATACATGAAGATTGAAGCAAAGGAGTTTCTTTTTGAGGAGCTTAGATTAAATGGTCAACTAAGCTTGAAAATCAGGGAAGCAAAGAAAGGGCTGGTGTTGTTAGAAGGTCTGAAGGTGATTGAAGGGCTTAAGGAGTTTGTGAAAGATGCAAGTAACAAAGGCAAAAAAAAATAGCTGGAAAGAGTATCTCTCAAAAACTGGAAGAAGGTTTGTAGTAGAGTGTAAGAGAAACACCAAAGGCTTCTTCATTTCTTTGACAGAATTTTTTGGCAAGGGTAGGAAGCAGATGGTCTGCTTCCCAGAGGGAAGGAAAAATCAGGGCTGGAAGGCAGTTCATGGAGTATTATGTGAACTGCTGCAACGGTTGGGTGCTAAAAGATAAGTAACAGAAAGAAGGAAGAAAAGCAGTTCTAATAGTCTGGAGAACAATAATAAGCAAGAGACTCTCATAGTGACAGCTGGGGCAGGTAAACACAGATTGGGAGTAAACTTACAGAGAGGAGATTGGGAAAATAAACTGATAGTTAAAGCTTCAGTTCACATTTTAGATTGGAGGAAAGTTGCAGATGTGTTAACAGCATGCTTGAAATTGAAAAACACATTTATTTTAACACCATTTGAGAAAGACAAGGCTTTGCTGGATTTGTTTGAGAATAGAGTAGAAGTTGAGGCTCTCAATATCCAAGCTGAACTTGGGAATCTCACATTATCAAGATGGTGTCCAGGGTCAAACTCCAAGGATCTCTTTGTTGAAGATGGAGTACTGGTGCGTCTTTTAGGCCTTCCCTTTCACTTGTGGAAGCAAGAAATTGCTGAAGCCATTGCTTTGATGTGCGGAGGATCATTAGGAGGTGTTTTTTGGGGAGATCTCTTTTCAGCTTCCATCTTATTGAATGGAGTAAAACCTGAGGAGATTCCTCGGAAGATAGAGGTGCGAGTTGAAGGAAAATTTTACTCAGTATGGCTGGCTTCATCCATTGAAACT